AGGGGGGAGTGAGTCTAGTCAGAGGCTCTGCCACAGAATCACACCCCTGCCCCTTACTGTGGAATTGTAGATGGGGACGCAACCACCGAGCTACACTCACAGTCTTTTTGCCATGTTTGGGGTCAGGCCCAGTTAAGTTGCTTTGGCTGGCCTTGAGCTCTGTAGCCCAAGTTGGGTTTAGACTTCTAATCCTCCTGCCTCAACCTCCCCAGTAACTGGGATGACAGTTACTAGGGCCAGATAGTAACAACAGTAGCTGAAGGTCTGTCTGTGCGGCACTTCGTCGCGCCAGGCCAGTGCCGCCTCCTCATAGGAGGAGGCCCGGTGCTGCCTGAGAGGGACAGAACTTAGCTTGGCCACTGCTATCAGCATGAGGCGAGAGCAGGGCAACTCTGGAGACCCAGCGTGCACTAGGTCCATCCCTAGGTTCCCCAAGGTTCTTAGTTGTGCTCGCTGTGAAGCCATGACCCAGGCTAACAATCGCTAGCCTGGGGTGGGGGGTGGGGGCAGCAGTTCCTTCTTTTATTCAGATGTAGTGAGGGGAGCCTGAAGTCCTTCCTCTCCGTCTGCAGAGCACACTGTAATTCTGTCCCGTGTATTTCACATTCCCGTGTGGATTTAGCAGCCCTGGGGGGTGCGAAACCATTCACTCATTCCTCGTGGGGGAGGGGTGCTGCATTTAGTCATCGAATGCATGAATTCGAAGCTCAGCAGTGGCGTGCCCTTCTGGATTCTGGGAAGGGGCCATAGCAGAACATCCAGCACAGACCCAGCACCCATCTTGCGCCTAGTTTATTAAGGCCCAGAGGCTACACCCCTGCTTCCTCACTGGGGAACTCTAGCCACACATCCGCCCCCACCACTCTAGGGTTCTAGGCAGGGGTTCTACCAGTGAGCAACAGCTCCAGCTAGACAGTAGGCACAGTGATTACCCATATCCTCCCCAAACAACCCAAGAATTGGCTGGTTACAGTTATCGAAGATAGGGTTAGCAGGTTGTGTGGGGCAGTGAGCCAGGCAGTGGGAGCAGCCAGTTCAAACGCCCTCTGGTGCCGTGCTGAAGGGAACTCAAGGGATGAGGGGAACCTTTTTCTCCCCTTGTTTCTTCTCGCTTTCATTTCCCTCTCTTCACCTCTCTCTCTCTGTTCTCTGTCCCCATCCCCTTCCATCTCTCTCCCTCTTGAATGCCCACCCTCTTTTGTTGTTGTTGTTTTGTTTCTGTCTACCTGTCTTCCACTCTGCTATAACTGACCATAACCAAAAAAAAAAAAAAGGCAGTATAGAGTAGTGGTTAAGAGCTCAGACTTCGGTGTCTTCTAACTGGGCTCTGCCACTCCCTGGCTGTGTGTCCTTAGGCAAGTTTCTTAAGCTCTCTGTGCTCTTGACAATAGTAACCGTCCAGCGGGGCTGTTGTGGGGATTAAATTGAGACGTGATCCAGAAAGCCTTTAGAACAATGCCTGACACACACGAGCAGCAGCAAGTGGTGGCGGGTGTTATTGCTATCACTTAATGGTTCTTTTTCTTCCATCTCTCTTGGCTATCACCCTCTCTCCCTGTCCTATCTCTTGCCCTTCACTTCTCTCCTGACATTCATCTGACCCTCCCTTGTCACCACCCGGCCTTCTCTATCTTTCTGACCCCACCCTTGTGTCTCTCCCTCCGAATCATGACTTCTGCCTCTTTTTCACCCTTGCCCTCCACACTTCCCCTCCAAACCCTTCTCCCTCTCCCTGGCCCCCCGCCCCCACCCCTTGTCACATTCCAGGCTCTCCGAAGACCCCCAGGCCTCTCTCCTCTCCAAACCCAGCAGCAGCATCTTTCAGAACTGGCCTAAACCCCCTCTGCCGCCACTCCCCACCGGAGCTGGGGTCTCCTCTTCAACAGCTGCAGCCCCAGGCGCTACATCCCCTTCAGCCTCATCCGCCTCGGCTTCTACCCGACACCTGCAGGGCGTGGAATTTGAGATGCGGCCTCCACTTCTCCGCAGGGCACCCAGCCCCTCGCTGCTGCCTGCCTCGGATCACAAGGTCAGCCCAGCGCCCAGGCCCTCTTCTTTGCCCATCCTGCCTTCAGGACCCCTCTACCCGGGCCTCTTCGACATCCGCAGCTCCCCGACCGGAGGGGCAGGAGGCTCGGCTGACCCCTTCGCTCCTGTCTTCGTGCCGCCACACCCCGGGATATCTGGAGGTCTTGGAGGAGCCTTGTCGGGGGCCTCTCGCTCCCTATCACCCACCCGCCTGCTCTCGCTGCCTCCGGACAAGCCCTTCGGAGCCAAGCCTCTGGGGTTCTGGACCAAGTTTGACGTCGCCGATTGGCTGGAGTGGCTGGGCTTATCAGAGCACCGAGCCCAGTTCCTGGACCACGAGATCGATGGCTCCCACCTGCCCGCCTTGACCAAGGAGGACTATGTGGACCTGGGCGTGACCAGGGTGGGCCACCGTATGAACATTGACCGGGCTCTCAAATTTTTCCTGGAGAGGTGATGGCTGGCCTGGACGGACCAGCCCGTCCATAGGACACTTGAGCCCACTGACCTCTCGACCTCTGACCCCTCTGCCCATCATTCTCTCCCTCCTCCCCTCAGGGGGCCAGGGACTCTGCTAAAACTGTGCCCTGCCCCGTCTCCCCAGGCCTGACTGAGGTCCCCAAGTGGACCGGATGCAGGCCAATGGCACCTCACAAGAGGTGGGCAGCTGATACGAGACTGCGAGACTGCGAGCGAGCAGAGTAGAGGGGGGATTAGAGAAAAACGACACAGGGGTACTGAGAAGGAGGGAAAGGTCGATGGGGGGAGGGGGACAGACAGAGCCATAGAGGGTCAGCCCAGAACCTGACCGGACGCACGGGGGTGCCTGGGAAGGTGTGCCCTCCGATTCCATCACTTGAGCCCCTCTTACAGTCCTTTCCACCTCTCCAGGCCCCTCAGCCTTCCCCCTCTTGTTGGCACTCGGCTGCCCCACCCCCTGCCTCTTGCACGCCTGCCCCCCTCCCTGGCTGCAGTTTTTGCACAAGCTTGTCCCCTGGCTGTCTTGCACACCTCCGGCCTGCACGGCCCGCTCAGCTCCCCAACAGGATGCTTTCCTTTTGCTCAAGTGCACCGCCTTTGCTAGCTTGCTCTCTGCATACTTGCTTCTGGGGTGGGGGTTGCACCTTCATTTAGTACCCTGGACCCATGCTGCAGACACACATGGGACTTTCCTGCCCCCTCAGACCCAGGCATAGTTCTGTAGCCCCCGGCCACCCCTTCTTTCTGCTCTGTCCTTGCACACTCTAAGCACATTTACCTCCATTCTCAGACCTGGGGACACTTCTCCTGTCCTGGCACCCCTAACCTTTCTCTCTCTCATGATGGCACTCTTGTGCCCTGCCCACTCCGTTTTCTCTGACACTTAGCACACTCCTAGCTCTGACCTCTCTTCTTCTCCCCCATTGCCATCACCCTTCTTTACACTTCTGTTCACTTTTTTTCTTCCCAGAGACAGGGTTTCTCTGTGTAGCCCTGGCTGTCTTGGAACTTGCTCTGTAGACCAGACTAGCTTGGAACTCAGAGATTCACCTGCCTCTGCCTCCCACGTGCTGGGACTAAAGGCCTGAGCCACCACGCCAGGCTTCTGTTCGCCTTTATCTTTGCTTCCCGACGCCCTCTTGCACACTCCCTCTCATGCGCTCGTCCTCCCTAGCCCGCTCGCCAACCCTCACAGCCTTTCCTTTGAAACGGTGCTCAGGTATGGAATGTGCTTGCTGTGCTGTGCTGTGCTCTCCAGGTGACCTTCCCCACTGCCCTGCAGTCTGACCTCCTTTCGTTTGCCTCCCCGCCTCATTCTGCACACCCCTAGCCAGTCCTCGCCTCTCTTCCTGCCTAGGTCTTTGCTCACCTCCTCCTTGTTCCTAGGGAGAGGAGACCCTGCGCATGCACGCTGGCTCCCTGCTCACTAGGCTGTCACTCAGTCCGGTCATTCCTAGACCATCCGTTCGTCTGTCTGTCCATTTTGCACGAAGATTCCTCCTCCTCCCATTTCTTCTCTCCCCGGATTACCCCCCCATTCTTCCAGCATGGCTCCTTCCTCCCCGCACGTTCCCCCTCCCTCCTCCTGGGGCTTGGGAATTTAAAGCCACCTCTCCTCCCCTAGGTAGCCTCCTCCCCTGCTGTGGATAAAAGGGGGGAGGGCATCGCCCTCAGGTCCCCCCATGTTCAGCTGCCAAAGAAGGGAGCTCCCCGCCTCCCCCACCCCTTCCCTAAAGCTGCCCCCAGGCCCCCCCCCCCGGGGCGCTCTGTCCACGAGGGGAGGGCCAGTCCCCTCCCCTCACCATGTCAGGGAAATGCAGGGAACCTTGTGGGAGGGTCGCGGGAGGGGGGAGGGTGGTAAGGACTGGAGAGGAGGTGGCGCTGGGCCCCTACCCGCCCCCTCCCCCTGGTCGGATGCCCCCCGTCCGCAGGGGGCCTGCGCGGCGCCTGTCTATCAAGGGCTTGTTAATTCCGGATGGGTGCCGCGGGGTTGGGGAGGGCGTAGGGGGTGGGGTTGGGGGGGAGAAGCGGGGAGAGGGAAGGGGGAGGGGCTGGTTGGGGAAGCGGGGTGGAGAGGAGAGACCAAGCAAAAAGACAAATAATAGCAAAAGAAAAAATATACAAAGCAAAATAAAAATTAAAAAATCCTAGAACACACACAAATCCAAAAAGGGGAAAGAGAAAAAAAAAAAAAAAACACCTGAAATAAAAGCCCTAGAACTGTCTTCCAAGGGGGCGGGAGGGGACGAGAAAGGAGCTGAGCTCGTCCTGCAGGATCGCAGGGATTGGGTGGGACCTGGAGGAGGATGACAGCAGAGGTCCGCCCCGCCCCCCACGCCCAACACGACTTTGCTGAGAGAAACGGCTTTTGTATCAGGTCTGTCTTTATAATTAAACTCACAGTATCCACCCCCTCGAGCCGGCCCCGCCTCCTTCCTAGGGAGGCCACGCCCTCTCGGTTTGCAGGGCCTGGGGGCGGGGCGCATCTGGGACCCGCCCCCGCCGCCCGTCAATCTTCCTCGGTCGGTTCCGCCCCCAGAGCCTCGAGCATGCGCCGTCGGACCAGGGAGCGGCGCAGGTGCAGGCGGTAGTCCCCCAGCAGCAGGTCGTCGTGGCGCACGAGTGGGTAAGCGATTCCGCGGAGGCTGATTCCCGTGCGCAGCAGGCGAGAGCGCGTCTGGAAGTCTGTGACGGTGATGAGCCACCTGCGGGGGATTCGCCCCGTCCGCCTTCGCTCGCGGCCGCCGCCGCGGGCCTGCAACCCTGTCTCTCTCTCTCCGCACAGTGAATGTGCGGCCCCGCCCTCGCTGCCATCCTTACCCTACTCGACTAGAGGTGCCACTCAGCATAGGACCTGCCCCTCAGTGTCATTCTGACTTTGCCCAAAATGGCACTCAACTCCGCCCTCCCCCATGCCAAATCTTAATTCTGATTCTGCCAAAATTGCCACTCAACCCGTTCCTCTGGGTGGTTCTCGGCCTCATACCTCACTGTCACCCTCCCCGTGACCTCACCTAAGGCCCCGCTCCTTCTCCAACTCTCCAACTCACTGTAGGCTCTGATCTTTCAGTTGCTCTCATTCCACCCCTCACTCACCTCATCACTCTGACCCCACCCACTAGCTCGCTCACCCCGCCTCCCAGCTCGGTTTGCTGACTCTCCCAGACTACGCTCCTCCCGTTTCTGTCCGTCAACCGCTCGGCCTAGGCCACGCCCATGCATGGGCTCACCTGTCCCGTCGGCCCGCCGTCCCGCAGATGACATTCATATTCTCATAGCGGATACTGCTCAAGCGCCCGCTCTCCATGGCCCCGGGCAGCTGGGCCTCCAGAGCCTCCAGCACCTCCAAGTGCGTGAAATCCTCCTGCGTGGGGGTGCATACAGCCTCAGCCCGCAACCCTTATCTCCCAGGTTGGAACCTGGCCCAGACTCCACCTGCAGACCCGCTGGGTTCCGTCATTCTTGTCAAAGGGAGAACACAGGAGTCTCAGGTGCGAAGGCATCTGCCACTCAAGATCATTCTCAAAAACCAGACTGATTACAATCCCACCACCCTGCAGGAAAACTCTCCCAGAGACCAGCCACGGATGGCGCCTTAGAGTTCTGGGAGATTCTATTTGAGTCTGTGATCTCCTGTTAAGGGAGTGCAGTCTTCAGAAGAGTCAGAGGAAGCTGTTTCAGAGGATGTGTTGATCACTGGCCACAGTGACAAAGGGGGAAAACAGTTGTCCAAGCATATGAAATCCCTGAGGACCCGCTGGCTTGACGCTTTGGTGGGTAAAGGCGCTTGCTTTGCAATCCTGATGGCAAGTGAAATCCCCCGCACCCACATAAAGGTGGAAGGAGAGAACTGAGCTGTCCTCTGACCTCCACCTGTTAGACATTAGGGGTGTCTGCAGGAGGGGCTGCAAGGTGTCTTCCTTCCACCCATGTACTAACCAGACCTGTGTAGCTTCTGAGCTGGAAGGAGATCTGTGTGCCCAGGGTGGCACGATGGTACACTTGGGTCCCTTCTTCAAAGGCACCAAGGAAAAGAAAGATCGGGTGGAGTGCCTTAAGGCGTGTGCCTAGTACACAGCAGGTGTGTGTGTAAGTGTGTGTGTGTGTGTGTACATTTGCTCTGTTTGGGACAGGAGCTCAGAGAACCCAGGCTAGCCTTGAACTCAGTGTGTAACAGACTGACCTCGTCCTCCTGCTCCTCCTGACTTTGCCCCTGGAGTGCTGAGTAGTAGATCCATGCCACCATGCTACCTTAACCCAATTCTGCTCAGGCGAGCCTCTCGCCACCTCAGCTGTGCAGAGAGCCGATGGCCACTCACCGAAGTCTCCATGCAGAGGCAGAGGGGCTGGGTAGAGGGTGGTGCTGCGAACTTTCGGATGCACGGGAGCTCCCTATCCAGTGCCTCATATTCTGAGATGACCTGCCTCAGGTACTGCTTCCTGTGTGTGTGGAAGGGAGAGAGGGAGGGAGAGAGGGAGCCAGAGAGGGGCAAGGCAAGGCAAGGCACCTCTGAAATCAGGGGCTGCTTCTGTCACCTCTGCAGGAGCTGGAGTCAGAGGCCGTGGGGCCCAGAGTACTCACGAGGATTTGACAGGCCTGACCAGGTTCCGAGCCATGGACTCCTCTGTAGACTCCAGATCCACAAGGATGGCTCCTACTGACAAGAGAAGCCAGTGTCACCTGACAAGGGTCCTTCGAAGCCCCGGCTCTCTTCAGATGAGAATCACCCAGCAGCGTGCACACCACCCCAGGAAGCTCCATCTCAGAGGCAAGTCCCTGAGACGCCATCTGGAAGCTACATAGTGCACCCTACCACTCTGGCTTTGAAACTGGACTCCTGGCTAGGCTCTCAGCCTGAAGGGGGCAGCAAAATGAAACACCCCTGTGCCCCAGGATTAATACCAGACTCCAGCCTACTGGTTGGAACTGGTTCCTTACATGTGACTCTCTTCTTGCCAACCTTCTCATTAGCCAGCCTTTCTCGTTAGAAAGATGGGCCTCTAGGGTCAGGGGGAAGAGGAGGAGGACCTCCCCTATCAGTGTACTTAGGGAGGAGCATGGGAGGAGATGAGGGAGGGAGGGAAGGAGTGAGGGGCTACAGCTGGGATACAAAGTGAATAAACTGTAATCAGTAAAAAATTTATTAATTAAAAAGAAAAGGAAGACGGGCCTCTCCTTCCCCTGGCTAGTGACTGGCACACATGGCCTGTTTCACTCTTCACTTTGGCCTTAGAGTTGTACAGGCACAAGAGTGTCTTCCTGACCAGCTCCCCGGTGGCCTAGCCACCGAGTTCTCGCCAACAGGGTGAGTGAGAATCAGCACTACAACTGTAGGGTCATCTACATAAAGGATTGCCTCCGGGTGTGGGAGCGCGCACACCTCTCCTTGCCGCTCTAGGAAGGCTATGACAGACCGTTTGCCATAAGCGCAAAGGCAGTCTGGTCTACACAGTGGCTGTGGGGTCAGCCTGGACCTCAAAGGAAAAGTGTGGGGAGGAGGGAGAGGTGGAGGAAGAAAAGAAAGGACAGACAGACAGACAGATGGAAGGAAACTGTCTTTGATGTTTGGCTCCTTCCTCCAGATGGGCTTCAACCGTGTTGGGATATGCTGAGACAATGCAGAAGGATCCTGGGCCCATGACTTGTCTTACAGAGTTCAAGCATCCCACAAATTTCTCTCTGAGACCAATTAATGTCTGCCTCCTTTATGTTACCATGTTTCTAGGCAGAAGAGAGAAGAGTCATTTATCTTTTCATTTTCTGTCTCTATTTTTAAATCATCTAATATATTATTTAATAGGGTCCTAAAGCCCCGTGTTATGGTGTTTCCCATTCTTATGTGGCTTATTGTTCTTGATTTTACATAATTCTTTCTTTAAAAAATGCCCATTATTGTCAAACCATTTATCTAGCTATCTAGCTAGCTAGCTATGTCTATATCCAGTTCCTTTTCTTTTTTTAGCATCTAAGCACAATTTTACGTGTACTGTACTTGTTCAGGGGTTTTTCTGTGCTTGAATCTTTAGTTTCTTCAGTCTGGGCTTGGATTTCTTTTTGGCTCAGTTTAGCATGGGGCGCTGGCTGCTGTCTCCACCCGCTTGGCTCCCCATATGTCAAGCTGCCCCAACTTGCCCTGGCTCTGGGAAGGTGGTGCCAGCAGCTGCACCGGACATGGGACATGTTGGACCCGAGCTGGGCTGAGGTCTTTGCAAAATGTTTCTCCTGGGCTGCGGAGTGAGCCACACCTCTGCTGAGCAGCGCGAGGGCCTCTCAAAGCCAAAGCCGTGCTTGTCTGTGTGGCCACAGGGGCTCTCCGCGTGTCTCTGTTTTATGCCACCTGTCACTGCACCAGCTGCTCAGAGGCCGGGTTCGCCCCTGGCCACCAGCTGGCAGTCCCTCCGGGTCAGGAAGAGCTCGCCAGTGTTGCACTCGGGGAGAAATGGTGGCCGCTGTGCCCTGAGGCTCTGCTTCTCCACTCCTCATGTGGCAGCCAGCCTTGCCGCTCAGCAGGGCCTCTAGAGGAGCAGCCTTCCACACTCCATGCCTGTCTCAGAGACTGTCAACAGGAAGCCCGTCTGGCTCCAAGGAGTTCTTGTTCCCTGCCTTCCATCCGGGACTTTTTGGAACTATTCTCAGGCCCTAAACTTGGATTTACATGCCCCACTTGGATACCAAATAAAACACATGGACTTTCTATGTCGTCGTCTCCCCCCCCCCCCCCCCCCCCCCAAGCAGCTCTGAATAATGAAAGAAAATGCGAGGCAGGTGCTCCACCCCTGAGACCTGAGACAGGCCCGGTCCCTCACTGGGATTCTCGGCCAGCACTTTCCTACTATTGCACACGCCTCACGTGTTTCTCCATCTCGGAGCTGACTGACCTCCCTGAGAGTACCACAGAATCTCTCTCACGAACGCACACTCTGCGCTTCAGTCCCCAGACAGACACAATTGCTGTAACTCATTACCTTAATTCCACAATACTTTACAATTAGTTGTCACCACGTTTCTTGGCAGCCTCAGCCCCATTTGCTCAAGTGTGTGTGTACATGTCCTTGTGTGTATGTACACATGTGTATGGACGCCAGAGGTCAACCCCCCGTGTTGTTCATAAGGCACTGTTCACGTTGTCTTCTGGGACAGAATTGCTCACTGGGCTGGAGCTGGACAAGTAGGCCAGGCCAGGTATTGAGTGCTTCTTTTGGACCTTGTATAATTTGAGTAAATTAATCTACCCATCTCTGCCTGTGCGGTGCTGGGTTACAAGTGCTTTGTTATTGAACTATTTGCTTTCACTCTTACAGGTGTCTGAGTATGTGTGTGCCACGTGTACGTGAGTGCCCAGAGGCTAGAAGAGGGCATCTTGAACTCACTGAGATCTGCCTACCTCTGCCTCCCAGAGTCATTTTATTCTTAATAGCCATACTGGCTTTCTATGCCTTCCCAAACAAAAAGACTTTAAAGACACAAAAATATGTAAAGTGGATTGATAAGAGACAACCCTTAGAAGAAAAATTAGAAAGACTTATAAATAAAAATGAAAAGATACTCAGAGATAGAGGAATTAAGACAAGATCCTATCACACTACCAGATAATAAAATTAAACCAACTTTAGCTCATCCAGTCACTCTATGACAAATATCAGCAGACAATAGACACTGCCAAGGTTATGAAGAATTTGGATGCCATCCTGTAGAAATGCTAGATTTAAAATTTTTTAAGGAAGCTGTAATTTTATAAGGTATGCATTCACCATTCGTGAAGCAGATATTAAATTCTTGAGTGATTAAAAATAAAGTTATCCAGCTGGGTAGTGGTGGCACACACCTTTAATCCCAGCACACAGAGAGGCAGAGGCAGGTGGACCTCTGTGAGTTTGAGGCCAGCCTGGTAACAGAGTGAGTTCCAGGACAGCCAAGGCTACACTGAAAAAACCCTGACTCGAAAAACAAAAACAAAGCAACAATTAAAAAGAGTTATCCCCCAAGACTAGAAAGATATGACAAAAGCAATATTAGAACTGGTCCTCAGTTACAATGGTGATCATGGTGGGGAAAAAAAACTAAAAAGATAGAACACAGAAATATGTCTAGAGGGACGAATATTTCCCAAGATCTATTGCTAGGTCAAGGTTAGTATGCTGAAGTACAAGTGCAGGGTTGAATGTGATGATGCTACCTTGGCACTATGTTATACTTGGAACATGCTTTAAGTACTTGGAACAAGACTGAAGAAACAGGAAAAACGTCTTAACCATTTACTCAAATTATACACCGTCCAAAAGGAATACTTCCAAAAGAAGTATTCATTGACTTTTTACAAAGATTGATTTCAGCTGTAAATAGAAGGATATCAGATTCAGAAGTTAGGCAAGTACTGACCAAATCTTTGGCTTTTGAAAATGCTAATTCTGAATACAAAATGGTGATCAGGCCCCTAAAGACAAATTCAGCTCCAAAAGATAAATGGATTAGAAATAAGGCTGATATTGGATCTCATTAGCCTATGGGTTCCTTACAACCTAGAATCTCCTTAACTTCTTTATTACCTCAGGCCTGGCCTATTATAGTAATTGATTTAAAATTGATTTCATTATACCTTTCATGAGCAAGATAGAGAAAAATTTGCTTTCACAATGGCTACTTATAATAACTCTCAACCTATTAAAAGGTACCAGTGGATGGTCTCGACACAAGGAATGTTAAACAGTTACACCGTGTGTCAATATTTTATACAACAGCCATTAGAAATAATTCACAAACAGTTTCCTCAACCTATATTTTATGATTATATGGATGATATTTTACCGGCAGATTCAGCTGCAGACACCTTAGAAAAAATGTTTGATGAAGTAAAGAGAATTTTGTCTTGTTGGGGAGTACACATTGCTCCTGAAAAAAAAAAAAACAAAGAGGAGATCCTATCAATTATCTCAGATATAAGATAGGTTTACAAAAATTCAACCACAGAAAGTACAAATCATGAGAGATCAATTATAAACTCTTAATGATTTTCAAAAAATGTTGGGAGATATTAGCTGGCTAAGGCTTATAATTGGATTAACTACTCAAGAGCTATGAAATTTATTTCAAACCTTACAAGGTGATAAGAACTTGCATAGTCCCAGAAAATTATGAGCTGAGGCTGAGAGAGAATTGGCTCTGATAGAAAAAAAAAAAATCACTGGACGCACATGTGGATCACTTGGATTCAAAGCTTCACTGTATTTTAGTTATTTTGCCTTCTACCCATTCTCCCACAGGAATCCTTATGCAGAAGATAATATCTTAGAGTGGATATTTTGCTACATAAACAAAATTAAAAAAATTAAAGACCTATGCAGAAAAAGTTTCTGAGTTGATTCTGAAAAGAAAAAATGAGACTCCATCAATTAGCAGGAATAAACCAGCAGAAATTGTAGTACCTTTTATTAATGCTCAAATTACCTCATTATGGGCAGAAAATGAACATTGGCAAAGAGCTTGCAGTAAATGTTTTTTGAGATATTAACAACAAATAACCCACAAAGCAAGAGACTTCCATTTATAAAAAAGAACCAATTGGATTCTCCCTCATATAGTAAAATGGACACCAATTTCTTGCCCCTATACTCTCTACTGTTGCAGTAAGTCAGGAAAGGCAGGTTATAAATCAGGGGGGGAAAAGAAGTATCTTAGAGACCTTATGATTCATTTGAAAAATCAGAGCTGTATGGTATTATTAGATTTTCCTGGATATCTTAATATAGTGACTGCCTCTCAACATGCAGAAGGAGTTGTTTTAATATAGAAATTCCAGAACTTATTCTGGATAATTTAGAATTAACTTTGCTACTTACTCAACTACAACAAATAATCAGAATCAGAAACCATCCATTGTAGAAAACACATAACAGATCCCATATGTGGGGGTCTACCAGACCCTCTAGCACAAGGTAATGATGAAATTGATCAGCTCTTTATAGGAAATGTGCGGACAGCTTTAGAATTTTATAAGAAACACCATGTTAATGGCAAAGGGTTGAAGAAAGATTTTTCTATCACTTGGCTACAAGCCAAGAAAATTATAAGGAATGCCCTGCTTGTTCTTTGTATAACCAAACTCCATTACCTGCAGGAAGTAACCCAAAAGGTACCAAAAAAAAAAAAAAAAAAAAAAAAAAAAGGAAACTGAATATAGACGGTCATTTAAAAGACCGAAAGAATTTGAAAATAATAAAATGAAGTCCTTAAAAAAAGAGTTAAGTAATATAAAAAGAATAAACTATGTAAAGATTGAGAAGTTTTTTTAAAAAGTACAGAAAAAGCTATTAAATTAAAAGGCAGTAAAATAGATATAAATACATATAGAAATTAAATTCTCCAAAAAAAAGAAGAATGAAAGAAGAAAGTAAAGTCTCCAAGGAAAGAAGAGAAAAAGAAAAATA